GCCTTAGATTCGCTCTTCTTCTCCCTCTGCCCCTCCCCACTCGTGCTGTCTAAAACAAAAAATCTGTAAATGATGCATCTTTGATTCAGAGAAATATGGTATTAGGAGTTTGAGGGGGATGATATTGATCAGCTCTCTAAATAAAACGTTGGTGCAGTGATGCCACTGCAGAATTCCCCTTGGGTTTCAGAGGCCTTGGAACTGAAGAGCCCTTAGTAGTTGGTGGGGGGGGGGTGTAGAAAGAAGGACTGATGGTTATGCAAATGTAATCAGCAAGTGTGTTTGAAGCACCTGCTGTGTTTTACTCTGGAGCATTGTTTTTTGGCATCTGTACAGGACTATACCTTCTATAGATTAGTCAGCTTCCGGGATGGGGCGCTTTAAGCTTTGGGGTTTGGCAGGTAAAGAAAGCAAGGCAAGAATAAGTGCCCGGATGGCTCAGTTATTAAGCCTCTGCCTTCAGCTCAGTTCGTGATCCCAGGGTCTTGGGATCAAGCCCCAAGCCTCTGGTTCCCTGCCAGCAGGAAGCCTGCTTGTCCCTCTCCCACTCCCCCTGCCTGTGTTCCCTCTCTCGCTGTCTCTCTCTCTGTCAAATAAAGAAATAAAATCTTAAAAAAAAAAAAAAATAGGTGGGGGAGAGACTAGGAGGATTTAGGCAGACTATAGCTAAAACGGACCATGTATGTGGAAATTAAAATCCAATGAGGATGTCAGGATCACAGTGGAAAGAGTAAACTTATAGATTGCTCAGGTTTGTAGAATTACTGAGTTTTAGGGCTGGAAGGGGTCTCCAAGGTCATCTAGAGCACCACTGTCCAATAGAAACAGAATGCAAGTCACAAAGGTAAGTCATACAGGTAAGTTTAAAATTTCCTAGTATAGCTGCATTCAAATAAGTTAAAAGAAACACAAGAAAATACGAATATTTTACTGAATCAAATATAGCGAAACTCATTTTAACATGTAATCAGTACTTTGTCGATTTCTTAAAAAGATTTTATTTATTTGAGTGAGAGAGACCATGTGTGCATGCACTCACAATGGGGAGGGGAAGCACAGAGGTGGGAGAAGCAGACTCTCCGCTGAGCACAGACTTGCTCGATCCTAGGATCCCAGGACATGACCTGAGCCGGAGGCAGACGCTTAACTGATCAAGCCACCCAAGCGCCCCTTATTGATTGATTGTATTATTGATACTACTTATTTCTCAACTTACTGAGGTACTTTGAGGTATTTCTCAACTTACTGAGGTACTTTACTTTCACTAAAACTGTGAAAACCGTGTATATTTATATACGTGTATATTTAACCGGACAGCGCATGTCAGTTGGGACTGGCCGCGTGTGACTACTGGCTTCTGTTCTGGATGGTGCAAATCAGAGCAGCCGTCACTTACAGGTGGAGAAATTGAGGCACAGAAAAGCCCAACACAGAGTTGCAGAAAGTCTTCTTTCTCTGTACCGCACTGCCAAGATTCCGTTTGTGACAAAGAACTTGAGAAGCCAGTTTGAGAGGGGCAGGATCAAACGCAGTGACCTCAGACAGCATAGAGTGTGTCTGACAGATGGGTCCACTGGTGGTCATTTCAAGGCTATGAGGGACCATGAGGCAGGTCTTGCCCGGGAGGGTAGAAGGTGCAGGAGAGAAGGTTGGCAAGTGAAGGGAAAAAGACCAGACTGAGGACGCGCAGTGGTATTTTGTCTCTCCTACCCATTGTCATCTCTTCCACCTCTCAGGCAGCTGAACTCGCCATCAAATTTCTGCCTCCCCAACGCAGTCTGGAAGTAGTTCGGGTTGTGGGACCCCAGCTGATTGGAATTGGAAAGCACAGTGTGGTAAGCAGAGTGCTGGGACTGAAAAGAAAAAGATTCCCCGGAGAGGGGTGGAATGGTGCCATCTACACAAAAGGCATGTGAGGTCGGCCTCCTGGCAGGTGTGACCTGCAGTTAGTTCTGTGGAAACAGGGGAGATGGTCTCCAGGCTCTGATTTCCTACCGTGTAGGCTGCAGAGCTCTATCTGAACCTGGACCTAGTCAAGGAAGCGATCGACGCCTTCATTGAGGGTGAGGAGTGGAACAAGGCTAAGCGTGTGGCCAAGGAGTTAGATCCCCGGTAAGCTGCTGACCCCTTCTCTCCAGCAAATTCTCTTACTTCATTTTGTAAAGAGGAGGAGGAAGTTCTCATGGGAAGGGTGTGCATGCTGGGACCACGTGGCGCTAGATCCCCATACATCTTCACAGGTATGAAGACTACGTGGACCAGCATTATAAGGAGTTCCTCAAGAACAAGGGCAAAGTGGACTCGGTGAGACTTGCAGAGAGTTAGCAAGAGGCCAAACGCATGAAGGCTCAAAGGACTTTCTCCCTCCTCTCCCTGCTCATGTCCTCTCTGTCCTCTTAACTCTTGTCTTTTCCGCTGCCCCATAGCTGGTGGGTGTGGATGTGGTGGCTGCTCTGGACCTGTATGTGGAGCAGGGCCAGTGGGACAAGTGCATTGAAACAGCTACCAAGCAGGTACTGCTTTCCTCCTCCCCTCCCTAGCTCTTCCGGACATTACCCCTTGGCTCGCCTTGCCCCAGAGCTGTATCTCTTACTTCCTCCAAAGCCCAACCCCAGAGATCCCTAACCAGCATCAGAGAGTCAGTCTTCCACCCTTTTGAAACTGGAGTCAGAGGCCTAGCTGGGCCTGACTTGCATAGGCCTTTGCCTCCAAAACAAATCCATGCCCTCAGGTTACCACCCCACCCTCACTGCATGGTCTTACCGATGGCGAACCTCCCCCATGCTTTTCCTCCATCTCTGCGACAGAACTACCAGATTCTGCACAAATATGTGGCTTTGTATGCGACTCACCTGATCCGAGAGGGTGGCTATAGCCAGGCACTGGCCCTGTACGTGCAGCATGGAGCCCCTGCAAACCCACAGGTACCAGCCTGCTCCTCGGGGTGATGGTCTCCCCAAGGAAATTCTTACGTCTCCTCAAAACCCACCCATTCCCTCAGGAACTGTCTTCTCAAAGGATTCTTTCAGAGAGCATCCTGCCCAGAGACCCACACCAGCCTCTTCTGAAATGTACAGTCTCTCAAGACTTACCATTTGAGGAAACATTCAGCAACCTCTCCATGCTCTTAGCTAATACAGGGAAAGGCCTTTCAGAGATGAATCTTAGTAAGATGAATCTTAGTAAGGCCCTAGAGGTGCACACACCTCTAGGGCCTTACTAACCTCCCTCAGAGACCAAACACTGCTCTCCTCTCTGAGCACCCCAGCTCCCTGGAATATTGGCCCATTAACACTGGGACTGCATTCGCATTCACACATCTGTCCACACGCAGACCACCAGTTGTAAGAAAGTTATTTTCTTACTTTTGTCTTCCAAAAAAGGATCAACACTTTATCACTGTCCCCTAGCTCCTCCACATGCACACTGACAGCCTGTTTCCTCTTTGGCCCCACGTGCACTTTCTCTTCTAGTTACCCCTTCTCACTCAGCTCTCCTTTCGCCACCACCCCTAGAACTTCAACATCTACAAAAGGATATTCACGGACATGGTGAGCTCCCCTGGGACCAACAGTGCTGAGGCCTATCACAACTGGGCTGATCTTCGGGACGTGCTCTTTAACTTGGTGAGGAAGTCGGCTCTGTGACAGAGTGACAAGGCTACCCTACTTCTTTGTCCTCTCTTCTTTGAGGCACATAAATATTTACCTTCAGATGGGCTGCACTTTTGTCCACATGGCCATGAGCTCTCTGGCCCTCCTCCAACCCCTGACCCAGGCTGCGCTCTCCTCCTGCTCTAGTGTGAAAACCTGGTGAAGTCTAGTGAGGCAAACTCTCCAGCCCACGAGGAGTTCGAGACGATGCTGCTGATTGCACATTACTACGCCACTCGCTCGGCCGCCCAGAGTGTCAAACAGCTGGTGAGATGGAAGGGAGGGGCACTCAGTCTTAAGGGAAGCATCTTCCAGTGCATGAAGTTGAATAAATTCAAGTTCCGGATTCTCAAGCTTGGTCCACTTCTCTCGTAGCTTCTCTTCCGTTTAGACAAATCTTTACCCCTCACTGAGGTGGCTTTCTTCCTGGACTCCTCCACTGACTTTCTTAGGACTCTGACCACATAGCTCCAGCCTCATTATACTTAAACATTCAAATCCCACAATTTCTGCATCGATCTCTTAAGATATACACATCCTTTTGGCTTATTTGTGACCGCGTATTGTAAATTTGCTGTGCGTACTTGAATAACAGAAATAATCTAGGCTTAGTTCTCTGTGCCCAAGAAAAAGATCCAGATCTTTTTCTTGACAGCAATTTAATATGTACTACTGGTTTTCTGGTTCTGTGGCTGCCTTAGCTAGCCATAAGGTTACTGGGCTGGTAGCTCAGTCGCTACAGTGCCAGGATCATAATGCTTTCTTTGATTTTAATCTGTAGGAAACTGTGGCTGCCAGGCTTTCTGTTTCACTCTTACGCCACACCCAGCTCCTACCTGCAGATAAGGCCTTCTATGAAGCAGGCCTTGCGGCCAAGGTGAGCTGGGACGAAGAAGGGTGTGGCAGAGGAGACAGGGAAATCAAAAGTTGGAAGGTGGAATGCCTGGTCTATTCAGGTAGAGCAAAGCAGAGTGTGGGGCTGATGTTATGGAGGATACTGTATTCCTGTGTCTTCCTGGATTCCTCCTCCTCCCTGGAAGAGCAGCATCCAAGCCCAGCTGCTCACTCCCACTTGCAACTTTTCTCTGTTGCAGGCGGTTGGCTGGGAGAACATGGCATTCATCTTCCTCAACCGCTTTTTGGATCTGACCGATGTGAGTAAAGAAGTTGTGCCCAGAGGGCGGGAGGTTTCACCTGTCATGGAAATGTGTCTATCTCATGGCTGCCCACTCTGCCGCAGGCAATTGAAGAAGGGACTCTGGATGCCCTTGACCACTCTGACTTTCAGGATACAGACATTCCCTTTGAGGTGCCACTCCCAGCCAAGCAGCACGTACCGGTAAGAGCGTGAGACTGGACACCGGGGAAGGCCTTACCAGCGTGAGGGTGTTTTGAAGGGAGGACACTTTATCCCTTTATGTTGGTCCTCCTAACCTTTGTAATGGGCATCAGCTGGCAACGTCTTTGGAAGGGCCTCAGCCCTCACTACTCCTTCAGTGAAAGTAGAAGCAGAGAAAAAAGAAAAGGTGGTGACGAGGAACCCCATCCAAGGAGGATCACATATGGGGAAAAGATGATGCACAGGATGAGTTTAGTAAGACTCCCAACTCCCCACCTTCCACTTGCCCTGCCCTGCGTGAAGATGCTGCTGCTTTGTCCTTCCCAGGAGGCTCAGAGGGAAGAGGTTCGAGACTGGGTACTCACAGTCTCAATGGACCAGCGGCTGGAGCAGGTTCTGCCTCGGGATGAACGCGGTGTGTATGAAGCTTCCTTGGTGGCAGCGAGCACTGGCGTTCAGGCACTACCCTGCCTCATTACGGGTACACAACCCTACACCTGTCCACGTTCCATGGTGGGCGGAAAGGGAGGGGGAGCAGCAGGCTCAAGAGAGTATTTTACTCTGAAATTGCTCTTGGTTTTCCCTCTCAAATGCCAGTTCGTCTTTCTTCTCCCACAGGATACCCCATTCTGAGGAACAAAATTGAGTTTAAGCGGCCAGGGAAGGCAGCTAACAAGGACAACTGGAATAAGTTCCTTATGGCTATCAAGGTTAGAGAGGGAGATTTGGAGGGTGTGGGCGGGGAGAGCAGCACTGAAAAGTAAGAAACCGCTAGAAGGGTGGGTGGGAATGTCAGGAAGGCAGGAGCAGGCCCTGGACTCTGCTCTCCTTACTGACATGGGGTTGATTTTCTTTAGAGAAGAAGCGCTTTTCCTTAGCACTAATGAGTTCCTCTCTTGTTCTACTGTTTGTCCACAGACTTCCCACAGTCCAGTGTGCCAGGATGTGCTGAAATTCATTAGTCAGTGGTGTGGAGGGCTACCCAGCACCAGCTTTTCCTTTCAGTAACTAGTAGGCCTCAGGGAAGAGTTATTGGATTCTCTCCCTCATTAAAGTCTTATAGGTAATGGAGACCACTGTGTTCTTTGATCAAAGTCATTCCCAACATCAGCTTTGTGCCCTTCCCCGCCCCCCCCGAAAGGAAATCATCATCAAGTTTTAGTACTTTTATTACAACTATTCACGTCATCTTGGGGTTTATATCACCATTGTGAACTGAGCCTCCGGATCAGCACCTGCTCCATAGAAGGGAGAACCTGAGTCAGAGCAGAGGGCAGGCAGCACAGCAAAGGACTTGACCCAGTTCTAAGAGTGGTTCCCTGCCTCCCCCCTTTCCTAGGCCCCAATTCTCATGGATTACCTGTCCTCAGCCCAGCTTTTCTGTGATGCCTGCATTTCTTGATTTTGATCCAGTAGCTGCTCATTTTCCTGTCTTTCACACTTGGGAAGTTCAAGCTCTGTCAGTTCCTCTAGCTGTAGGGGAGGATGGAGTTAGTACTCCTGCCCTGAATTATACTACAGTTCAGCACCTTTAAACACAGCCAGTCCCTGTTGAATGAGCCCTTCCTGTTTATCTTCCTTACCTGCTCCTGAAGCCCTTGCTTCCTGCAGGGCCCAACCCCACGTAGGGTGAGGGCAGCCACACAGCAGTAACCAGACAGGGCCGCCTCCACTGCAGACATGAGCAAAGAAGGGATCCACAGAGCCAAGGCTGTATCCTAAAAGGTAACGAGGGCAGGTGGGGGACTGAGAGGGAGGAGGACAGAAGTGGCAAGTAGGGGTGGTTTAAAGGGCAGGGCCAAGGCTCTGTAGACTGCAAAAAGGCCGAGAAGAGCATGCACTCACATAGATTCTTGTGGGGTCAAACGGGCAGTCAGACCGTCCAGGCCCTTGGTCCACTGGTAGCAAAGGATCCAGCAGTCCTGGATGGCAATCAGCAATGAGACGACGGCCACCGTTGGCCACAGTGAGTGACACAGCAAGGAGGAGGCCCAGGGAGCAGGCCGCAGACAAGAGCAGGTTCCCTAGAGCTACTGCCAGGAGGGCCCAGTGCTGGCAGGGGCAGAAGATCAGGGTGAGCAGCTGCTCGCCCGCCTGACACTCCCACTGATAAGACACCTTGCTGTCTCTATCTGAGGCTCCTCCTCCCACTTAAAGACGAAGCCCAGTCAGGTTCTCATTTCCCTGATTCCAGGACCCATTAAAGCTCCAGAAATCCCCTCTCACCAGTGGTGGGCGCAGAAGGTTCCTGGACGCCAAGAGGGCCACAAGTCCCACGGAAACACTCTGGAAGACACAAAGCCTGAAGCCCGCGCCGCTCTACGCCCCGCCTCCCCTCCCCCACGAGCGTGGACCCGCCCCGCGCTCACCAGCAGCCCCGAGCCCACCGAGATGACATTGGCCGTGGTGTACTCCGGGGTGACAGCGCCGCGGGGATTGGCCACGTGTCGCAGGACTGTGCCGTGCAGCACGGCCCCCAGGAGCAGGTTCACGTGGCCCACCAGGATCAGCGCGAGGCCCACGCGCATAAGCCTCCGGGGGCCGCGGGCCGCGTCTGCAAAGTACGGGGGGAGGGGTAGGCCTAAGCCGGGAAAGGAACCAGAGGGCCCCCCGTGGAGCGCCCCCGAACCAAGGGCCGTGGGGTGGGTCACCGGCGGACGCAGGGGCCCGAGGCCGGAAATTACCGAATTCGTAGAGGCGGCAGCACCTCATCGCGGCCGTCCGCGGCCCGCCACAGGGCAGCTCTACCTGGCTCCGCCCCCTCGCTACCTGAAGGCCCCACCCCGAGCGCTCCCCGCCCGGGGCTCCGAGGCCGCGCCCCCTAGCGGGAAAGGCGCACACACACACCACGCTCTTAGCAAAAAGTAGACTTTTATTACAGCAGCAACTGAGGCGAATCGAATGGCCCCCCAGGGCCACCACTGCAGCACCACCCTTCTCTCCCGCCCCGTCCGCCCCAGCGGGATTGTAGAATTCAGCTCCCCCAGTGCCCGTGGGCCTCCTTTCCACACAGGCTGGGCGGGAGCCGCCAGATCAGCTACTAGCCCCCAACTAGAAGGCGGCTGCTGAGAAGGCCCAGGCCCACGTCTGTGCAAAACAAGTAAACAAAGTGCAGAGGGGAGGAAGGGAAGGGGGAGGGTGATGCTCAGAACCAGGGAGCCCCAAAGCCCTCCTGAATAATAAAGGAGAGAAGGGGCTTCACAGGGTAATACTGACTGGGGGGAGGGGGCAGGAAGGCTGCTGCCATCTAGTGACGGCCACAGCTCTGATTAGGGGCCTGGCCCGAGGGAGCTCTAAGAGGAGACGGTGACAGCGGCTGAGTTGAGGGTGCTGTTCCTGGCAAAATTGAACTTGTTCAGGGTCTCCTCTAGCAGAGAAGTCAGTCGGCTCTGGTCAGCCTGGGGGAGAAGAGCTGGGTGAGACCGGGCAAGAGGAGAACGGAGTTGCCGGGGCGGCCGAGGCGGAAAGCTCACCTCGCTAATGAAGCCCAGCTGCACCAGCTCGGCTGCCAACTCAGGGATGTTCTCATCTGACAGAGAAAAGGGAGAGGGTGAGCACAATGTGGGAAGAGTGGGCCCCCAGCCCTAGTCAGGTCAGCCCAGCTGGGAAAGAACGACACAAGCAGAACTGTCGCGTCTACCCTCCGGTTTTAGGAGCTAAGGTATTCGTTCTGTGTGCCTCAGAATGTGTTGCTGCCTCGTAACCTTCCTCCCCGCCCCTAAGAATGTCCCTCACAGATGAGACTTAAGAGACTCTCATCCTCTGAGGGAAAGGAGAGACTCACTTGGCATTAGGTCACAGCTCAGGTGCCGGTTGAGTTTGTCCTCCAGCTTCAGAAGAAGCGTCAGCTGGAGAAAAGAGGACAGTCAGAAGATGAGGCTCCTCTTTCCCACTCCCCCCCCCTTTCTCCTGGCCACCCAGCCCTCTGCAGCCCTGGCCCCCAGCCTTACATGGTGTTTGACTCCCTCCTCCACTGACTCGATGTTGCACTGCATCAGCACCACCTACAGAGAGGACACACACGGGGTCATCACCGTAGTATCACCAGGCAAAAAAAAAAAAAAAAAAAAAAAGCCCCAACAGCTAGACGACTTTCCAGCCCACAGGACAAGCTTGCTAGAAACCAGAAACACACTCTTTTCCCTATAGGACAAAGCCTCATTTGACGTGTCCCTCTTCTCCCTTCCACCATGACCATAGAGACCTCCACATCCACAGAGCCCACCTTGCGGGTTTCCACCTCAGCTGGTTCAGGTGTTGGAGTCTTGACAGAGGGGGGCACAACAGGTGATGTCACCTCTTCCTGCTGTGGCTGCTGGGGCCGAGGTAGCCCAAAGGCTGTCAAGGGGTAGATCCCATTCCTGGAGTGAGATCAAACAGGTCACATGGGCTCCGTGAATGCCTCAGGACACCCACCCTGCTTCCTAAAGCAAGCCTTTCCTCTCACCCTTCTCTCACCTGACATCTTCAAGGAATTTATCCAATTCCAGAGCTGGTGACTGAGAGTACCTGCAGGAGAAAAGAGAAAACATGTGAAAGGAAGGAAATAAGCAAAACAGCAGGTTCAACAATTCCCAAAGAATTAACAGTTGACAGAACCCTCAGTGAGAGTGACAAATCTGTCCCTTTCAGACCCTCTCAGAGAGTTAGTTACTCACAAAGTCTGAACTGGTTCTCTTCCTGGTCCCGCAGGGATTTCAGCCAGTACAGCACTGGTATCCATGTTTTTGGTGATCTCCTCCAGAGCATTCTCTGGGATCATGTCTGGAGGACATGATGAAATGGAAAGTATAGATTAATGTCATGGAAGGCCCAGGGGTCCTGGGGGGAGTAAAGAATTCCTTTGGAAGTGGAAAAGGGAAGAGGGCATTGCTAGTGATACTTGTTAATGCTCCGACAGGAAGAAAATTCTTAGCAGGGCCAAGGGGACTCACGTTGGTGTCCCACAATGCAGTGGGCAGCAAGGAGTTTGAGTGAGGGCACTTCAAACAGCGCTGGGTGGAACAGAAGTTCTCTGGCTGTTGGCCTGCGAGCAGGCTCAGAATGCAGGCACTTTTGAATGAACTCCTAGAAAAGGGAAAAGAGGAAGTAGAGTAGGCAGCTGGCAACCAGGCCACTGTGTTCAACATGATACTTCGTCATTCATTACACTTAGCACAGGCTTCATACATACTAGGCAGTCAGCACTGGTTGAGGGAGTAACTGTTACTCCTCCTGAAACGGCTTTGAAGATTCTAAGGTATTAACATGAAAGGTACTGTTCAGGGTTTTTATGGTTTTACTTGTTTTTCTACTCTCCAACCACCAGCTTTTTTTTTTTTTTTTTTTTACTATTCAAACTTCCAGATTTTTTTTTCTGATTTTCTACTTCTGTGCTTTAACAGCCCACTCACTGCCTCCCTTCCTTTCCATCTCTCACCAAAATTACCTTCTCTGTTCCCAAACCTATCTGTTGGGGTCAACAGTATTCACCATTTTTTTCTTTTCCAAGCCAACTACCACAATTTCCTCCTTCTCTTACAATCATTTATTAAGTTCACTGATTTTCCCCAAGCTTCCTCTACATACACACACATCCCCATTTCCCACCTCCCATAGGTCGTCCCATGATAATTAACCTGCTTTTCTTTTCCTTCTTACAAACTTAAAAGCCAAGAAGGTCATATACCTAATCTGTCACTTGAACGCGCCAACCTAAAGCTGAACTAGAAATTTACTCCACACTAGCCTCAGCACTTCCCACTAGTCTCCCTGTCACACCATCTAATGAGTTACAAACTATCCTTGTTTGGACCTTCCTGTCCAGCCTCTTACTATAGTCTATCTACTGATTCATAACCTTATGCCCTTTAAATCTTAGCTCATTATTTCAGAGCACTTTCCCTACCTAAACCTATATAAATATAAAAGCCCACATGACAGATTTAATTCAAACTGGTCAATTTGTTTAAAAATATCAAGATGTCTGTCTGAGAGCATATACCAATTGCCTGAAGTAACCATTAGTTTACCTCCAGGCAGACACAACTAAGTTAATACACAACCTTTATCCCCAATACTACCCATGTTAA